AATGTCAAGAAATTCAATTGGTGAAAAAGATCTTTAATATTTATATCCACGTACTAGTCAAACTGAACCAGAAGTTCACATGATAATCTGCTATGAAAAGAGTGACTAAGCCTCATATTCATGTTGAGTATATCATTGATGATTTGGAATGCCAGAAGCATACTGTGCTAGAAGCATATGAAAAAGATAAAAGTCCGCGGCAAACTAAATTCTATATAGAAAGACAATCACTTCCATAACCTCCGGAAGAGGTTCATCCTGAAGATGGAATCTCCAGTAAATTGCACGTGCACTTGATAATCACAATACTGGAGATGCGGAACGGCCAAATCCAATTGTTAAGGGAAATGACGAGGATTTGGTTGACATAAAATAAGCTTTGAAGTGGCCACGGATTTGTGAAAAAGGAGAAATATATAATATAAATATAAAAGTTGTCGACAACATAGTTGCCTCTACATTTGCTCTTACTATCTCCGAAAATAATCTGGATCCAGAACCTAAGTCGGTAGATATTATATCTAACAAATGGCTCAAAAACAGAGCTAACAGCTGATTCAAATGTAAGGCAAAAATCTTCCTTTTCATCCTTGTGGTTCTATAGTAAACGTGGACCTGTCACACTACAGAAATCGCGAGCATTGACAGTTAACCTTATACATATACATGTTGCTTCCTTCACATTTTTTGCACTAATGCTACTGTTTATGCTGTAGGTTTCCTCCCATTCGAAACGGTGGCTACTTACTAGAGGGCATAAGGATTTGCATATGCTAAATTCCCAAAGTGATAATTCAGTTATCATGGTGTGCCGTAAAATTTCTTTGCATCTGAAAACCTGTAGTGTTAAGCTGTACTTAATTTGTGCTTGCAAATGGAACTGAATCCAAGGGCCATGCTGTCATCAGGTATAATTCCCTCAAAGGTTCCAATGTCCATACCCCGTGTTGCTGGTCTTGTCCCTGGAAATCATACAGAAAGTTATGATATTGTTGTATGTTTATTTTTCCTTCAAAAAACAAGGCTGTTTGCTCGTGCATGCAGTTGTACTGATCGTAAGCAGTGTTGTGCGTGTCGGATTCCTCCGAGTAAGTGCAAAACCTTGGAGGCTAAGAGGGTGTTCGTTTTCATGCAAGTGGAAAACGAAAGTAAGATAAGTGACTTTGCTTTTAATGATTCGGTTGTGAAAATAAAATGAAAAAAAGGTTGTCACTTACAATTTAATGCATTTTAACTTCTCCTTAAATAATTGTAAATGACATGAAAGCGAAAAAAAGAGGGACAACTTTTATTAAACGATTTTAACTATATTACTAAATCCTATTTTGTCATATCATGTTCACATTCTACCCTCAATAGTAATTTAATCTTTCAATCAAACATTATATTTCCCCGTCACTTACATAGTGACATAAATATGAAGGTCGTTCGCTAAAAAAGAAAAGTAACTTTGAAGGATTATTATATAACCACATAGCTTGCAAAATATCATAAAAATCCCCTTAAGTTTTTTTTTTCAAATTTCTATGAGTTGTGGCAGGACATGTTGAACGTGGGGTTACCGGAATTGTAACAGAGTCTGCTAAGTTTTTACTTGGAATTTTTCATTTTTTCCCCTATCATTAAGCTTGAAGTATGATAACAACTTAGGGGCACTTTTGAGTTTTTCAGAATGAAGTCCACAGGACCAAGAGTAATAGATAAATTGGATTTTGAATATTAGACTCTATTTAGCTTCTAGAAGTGTCGTGTTGTTATCTATGATTGATGCCTGTTGTGTCGGATATTCTAAGATTTATTCTAATTTGATGTCATATGAGAGAGTAGTTTAATCATAAATCAAAGAATGTTGAGATAAATTAGCAAACATTTAGATTTAGAGGGTATTTAAGATGTATCTGGGGGCATATAAATAAAAACTTTAGATTATAGATGAGTTAAGAATAATGCTACTTACACTAATTTTCCGAACTCCACACAGCATAGCACCGATTCAATTTGAGGAGAGGCTAGAGCAGTGTAGTTATCACCTATAGTCTGTACTATATATATTAAGAAAAGCTTCTTTTTTGGTCTTTGTCAACCACATTTTTACAACTCCAGAAAAAGCCCTCACAAATAAAAAGATTGAATTGCAAAATGCTCTTACAATTGAATAAATCAACTAAGACTCCCTCACACTTACGAAACTAAAGAGAATGCTCCTGCACGATGAAACAAGTCACAGACATGACCTCAAACTTTAACAATTTCAAAAAAATTTAATGAAAATACATTTAGATCTGTCTATTTTCTCGACAATTTAACAACAACAATCCTTCAAATTTGACATAATGTACTAGATGTGCTAATTGGAGTACTAGTTATTGTTGTTATTATTATTAGGAAAAATTGCTTCTAGCCTCCAAAATAACAAGAAGTATCACCCCTCCCCAAGACTTTTTCAAAGCTTCCAAAACCCCTAAAATCAAACCCACAATTCTTTTAGCCCCCAAAATCCCCTCCCGTGTACTTTCAAACATTTAAAGACCATAACATTGAATAAATCAACAAAAATCCTAGTTCCCTCCAAATTCTTCCAACGACGTCGGCATTGGCGATGGAACTTTCCCGACGTTCGTTCATGAGGCAAAAAACTTTGCGATCTTGAAGACGTTGGTGATAAGCAAAAGACAGAGCGTCATCTGAAGAAAAAGAGCAGCTTACCTTTAGAGATCGATCTTGAAACTAGGGCTAGAGTCAAGTTTGGATCGTTTAAGACGAAGAAGATTGAGATCAAAATGAGTTGCGATGTAATTTTCCTTTTTTTAACTTGTACTTGAATCTGAGTGCTATATTTTTTGTTACTTTACATATTATTGTATTTTTTTTAAATCGATGACTTGAGATTGAAGCAGAGTCTATAAAAGTCTGAGGCTCTTTTTTGATGGTGTCGGTGAGGGGTCAATTTGCAAATAATAAAACGCTGGGTTTGGCTTGGCTAATGGGTAAATTATGCGATTAGTTTATTTGTGGAGGGTGATGCTGGTTAAAAATATCAACTATTTTAAACACTTTATTTTCTTTATGAGTTAGTTGTTAAGGTAATGAGTTTGTTGTTAAGGTTATATGTGTTGGTTGTTAAGCTTATGAGTTGGTTGTTAATGTTATAAGTTGGTTGTTAACATTGGGAGAGAGTTATGAGTTAGTTGTTAAGGTTATGAGTTGGTTGTTAACCTTATGAATTGATCGATAATTTATGAGTTGGTTGTTAAAGTTTCCAGCTGGTTGTTAAGATTACAAGTTGGTTGTTAAGATTATGAATTGGTTGTTAAGATTATAAGTTGGTTGTTAAACTCGGTAGAGAGTTATGAGTTGGTTGTTAACATCGGTAGAAAGTTGGGAGTTGGTTGTTAATCTTTATAGATGAGCGCTACAAGCAATTAGTTGTTAACAACCAACTCATAACTCTTTATTGAGGTTAACAGCCAATTCATAACTCTCTACCGAGGTTAACAACCAACTTATAACCTTAACAACCAACTCCTAACTCTCTACCGATATTAATAGCCAACTTATAACATTAACAACAAACTCATAACCTTAACAACCAACTTATATCTCTCTATTGAGGTTAACAATAAACTCATAAGGTTAATAACCAACTTACAACCGTAATAACCAACTCATAACTCTCTACCGATGTTAACAACTAACTCATAACCTTAACAACCAACTCGTAACCTTAACAATCAACTGATAATCTTAACAACTAACTCATAACTTTAACAACCAATTCATAAGGTTAACAAACCAATACATAATCTTAACAACCAACTCTAACTCTCTACCGATGTTAACATCAAACTTATAAGGTTAACAACCAACTTATAACATTAACAACCAACTCATAACCTTAACAACCAACACATATAACCTTAATAACAAACTCATTACCTTAACAACTAACTCATAAAGAAAATAAAATGTTTAAAATACTTAATATTTTTAACCAGGATCACCCTCCACAAATAAACTAATTAATCGCATAATTAACCCATTAGCCAAGCCAAACCATGCGTTTTATAGACTCTGCTTCAATCTCAAGTAATTGATTTCAAAAAAAACTAAAACAATATGTGAAATAACAAAAAAGTATATAGCACTTAGATTCAAGTACAAGTTTAAAA